GAAACCGTTGGTCCCGTTTCATTGCTCAGGTCTCGTCAGTGTGGCGGCTCTCTTGCTCGCACTTGAGCCCGCCGTTCCGCCGGGTGGACCACGCAGGAAAAATGGCCCCGTCTTGAGGGCCCCTTATCCTGGAGCCCGGGCCTTATCCTGGAGCCCGGGGGGGTGGCGGAGCTATGTATACACAGCATACATGCCTGCATTCTTGCGAGGGGATGGCAAGCCATGCGAATGAATGCCAAGCGAACCGACGCACTGTCAAGCAACGCCGCAAAGCACAAAGCAATGCCGAGCTGAGGATGTTATGTTGCAGCGGATCGCATCGGGGCACGCGAAAATAACAAATGATTGCGAACCCGGGATTCGGGTCAGTTTGGTAAAACGCGCCTTGCGGGCATTGTCGGAGCCCTGATGGGCTGGTTCGAGGCCCTCTCGAGCCGTCCTGGGGCCATCCTGGGCCGTGTTGGGGAGCTTGAGTCCTCTAGGGACCTCGCGGGGGCGACGTGGGCCTTCCTGGTGGCCTCCCATGGTTTTTTCAGGGGCCTCCCATGGCCTTCTTGGGCCTCTATTGGGGGCCTTGTGAGGGCCTGTTGGGTGTTTTTTAGCCCATTGGGGTTTCTTTGGGCAGTCTTGGGGCCATCCAGGCCGTCTAGAGGTTCTCTTGGGGGTCGCTTGGGGCGATACCGGAAATTTGTTTTGTTTTTCTTGGACGCTGCTAAGACCCGAACAGCGAATATGTTGAACATGCACGTTTCCCTAAGAGAATGAAGCGGTTTGTGCGTTCTGGGAGTCCTGTTGAGGGCCTCCTGGGCCGTCTTGGGGGCCTCTGGAGGCCATTTGGATCCTTCTTGGAGCGCTGTTGTGCTGTCTTGGGTCTCTCTTCGGCGTTTCTGATCACCGCTCTGATCGCTCGGGGTCTGCTGGCAAGATCCCGCTGAGCGCCTTGGGAGGTCCGGGACGAGCCAGGGGACCTTCGGCCACGGTGTCCGAGGGGCCCAGTAACCCCAGATCTTGGGGTCTAGTACTGGGGGGGGTCCCCCCGTGGTTTGTAAAAATACAAGAAGAGGAATACACTGTATACACATGTATGTGTATATATGTATGTATGTATGTATGTATGTATGCATACATACATGCATGCATGCATGCATGTATGTACGTATGTGTGTGTGTATGTATGTTTGTATGTATGTATGTATGTAAGTGCGTATGCATGCATGTATGTATGTATGTATGCATGCATGTATGTATGTGTGTATGTATGTATGTTTGTACGTATGTATTTATGTATGTATGTATGCATGCATGCATGTATGCATGTATGTATGTGTGTATAACTGTATGTATGTATGACTGTATGTATGTATGTATGTATGTTTGTGTGTGTATGTATGTATGTATGTATGTATGTATGTATGTATGTATGTATGTATGTATGTACGCATGCATGTATGTATGTATGTATGTATGTACGTGTGTATGTTTGTGTGTATGTGTTTATGTATGTATGTATGTATGTATGCATGCATGCATGCATGTATGCATGCATGCATGTATGTATGTATGTATGTATATATGTATGTATGTATGTATGTATGTATGTATGTATGTATGTATGTATGTATGTATGTATGTATGTATGTATGTATGTGTGTCTGTATGTATGTCTGTCTGTCTGTATGTATGTATGTATGTATGTGTGTATGTATGTAGGCTATATACACATCAGTATATACATACATATATATATGTATGTATGTATATATGGCATCTGGATTTGTTCTGGCAACCTGCATCCTCTCCATTGATCGTGCTCCACAAGACCAGGGTTGATCGAGGCCTCGCCTTTTCAGGTCTCGGACTGGGTACGGCCCGACCTCGAGCGGCCCTGGCCGGAGCCCCGACGCCCGCCCGCCTCTCCATCCGAGCTTCGGACCTACGGCTGCTCCGTGCGATCGGTCCCAGCAGTCATTCGCCTGCGGAAGCCAGCGCTGGTCGATCTGCCCTGGGGGCCTCAAAGCTTCAGTTCAGGGTCGAAAGCCCTTCCCTTCTCCCTCCTCGTCCTCCTCCTGCTTCCTCCTCCTCCTCCTCCTCCTCCTCCTCCTCCTCCTCTTTGTGCGGGCTCTTACCCTTCGAATTCTGGGGCGGGAGCGGGCTCGGAAGGATCGTGTCGCCGCAGAGTGCGGCTAAACAAAAAAAACAAAAAGTTCAGGGTCGAAAGCCCTAGGCTCGACTCAGCAGACTGCAGAGCGGATTTCCGCCCAGAGCTTTCACGGCCTGTTGTGACACAGGAGGCGCTCTCAGAGATTGTTTCCATAATGCCAAGAATTGCTGGAATGCCGACACAATTTATGGAAAGCTGTGCCGAAATTGATTTCCTGACTACTGGAAATTGTTTCATGCAGTGAAGAAGTTCCAGGAGTGCAGGACAGTAGGTCTTCGGACTAATATTTGGAATGCCGCGACCCGACTGTTGCATTAATGTCCAGAGGGCCCAACAAGAACCCCGGCGACGCCGAACAGCATGTCCAGCAAGCCCACGGGAAGTCCCTGAACGCCGAGCCATGCTCCATGTTCTCTGGCACTGGAGGATCCAGGGCATCCGCACTCTATACCCGCACAGCGCTTGCATCGGAGGTCCTTCTCCTGGCTGCCCGACAGCGATGGGCCATGTCTTCTGGCCCTGATGGACCCACGGCATCCTCACTCTACCCGCACAGAACCTGCACCGGAGGTCCTTCCCCAGACCCCCGACGTCATGATTTTTACCTAACAGCGAAGACTGATAGGTTTCTAGTGGTCTCAAAAGAAAGCATCATGACTCCTCAGGGGGGTCGGGGCAGGACCCGGGGCGGGACCCGGCGCGGCTGCCGTCGAAGCCCAAATCGCTTGGGACATCCTCGCAAAATCGCTCTTGGCGCTGCTAGAACTCCATTCCCGGCGTACATTTTGGATGCCCGGAGCCAACTGTAGGCCTTTTCGTGCTCTTCGACTCCATTCCCGGCGTACATTTTGGATGCCCGGAGCCAACTGTAGGCCACTTCGTGGTCTTCGAGTTCCCAGAATTCCATTCCCAGGCCACATTTTGGATGCCCGGAGCCAACTGTAGGCCACTTCGTGTTCTTCGAGTTCCCATAAGTCCATTCCCGGGCCACATTTTGAATGCCCGGAGCCAACTGTAGGCCACTTCGTGCTCTTCAAGTTCCCAGAACTCCATTCCTGGGCATGATTTTGAATGCTCGGAGCCAACTGTAGGCCACCTCGTGTTCTTCTAGTTCCCAGAACTCCATTCCTGGGGCACATTTTGAATGCTGAGGCAGGCTGATGCTGCGGCCGAGGCAGGCTGAGGCTGAGGCAGGCTGAGGCTGAGGCCGAGGCTGAAGGCAGACTGAGGCTGAGGCTGAAGCAGACTGAGGCTGAGGCTGAGGCAGGCTGAGGCTGAGGCTGAGGCAGGCTGATGCTGAGGCAGGCTGAGGCTGAGGCTGAGGCTGATGCAGGCTGAGGCTGAGGCAGGCTGAGGCTGAGGCCGAGGCTGAAGGCAGACTGAGGCTGAGGCTGAAGCAGGCTGAGGCTGAGGCTGAGGCAGGCTGAGGCTGAGGCAGGCTGAGGCTGAGGCTGAGGCAGGCTGAGGCTGAGGCTGTGACTGCGACTGCCGTTGCCACTGCGACTGTCATCGCGAATGCGACTACGACTGCGAGAACAGCAGAATTCTACAACTGGATTCTCATCTGAATCTGAAGGGGAATGCTTCCAGATATGCTCCTACACATCGCTGTTAGGTTGCTTTGCCGGGATAATTTCATGACGCGCCCCCCAGAAGTCCAGACCCATTCCCCGGGACTTCTTTCTCATCCTGAGTCACTTTTTTCGACGGTCCCGAGGCCCGGCAAGGGCCTCCAGAGGCCGAAAATTGTGAAAAACCTTCCGCCGTGATTTTTGTCATGGCTCGAGGGGGTCTGGGTCTCCTGCCGTGAAAAACCTTCCGCCGTGATTTTTGTCATGGCTCGAGGGGGTCTGGGTCTCCTGGCTGCCCGGCAGCGATGCGATATATGTGTGTGCACCGAGGCTCCGCCGAGGTGCCCGGCCGGAGGCCGCGCGCGGGCGCCCCGCGGGCGCCTTTCGTGCGCCGGGCGGGCGCGGCGGAGGCTCTGCCTCGGCATCGCTCGGACGCGTGCGCATTCCTTGTCGGCGGGGGAGCAGCGAGGAGCCTCCTGGAGCATCGATCATGTTTTGTCGGCGGGGAGCAGCGAGGAGCCTCCTGGAGCATCGATGATATACATATATATACATATATATAAACACACAAAAAACAAAAAACAAAACAAAAAAACAAAAAAAACGCGCGCGAGAGCGAGAGAAAGCAAGCAACACACATGGGCGTCCCAGCGAGGGCGAGGTGCCCGGTGCCCGTGGGTGGGCGCCTCGCGGGGGCGCCTCTGGGGCGCCCGGCGGGCGTGCCGAGGTGTGGCCCCGGCGCCCGGCCGTGGCCGCACGGCTTGCGCACAGCCTGCGCCGCGCAGCCTGCACCACGCAGCTTGCACCACACTGCTCGCACCGCGCAGCGTGCACCGCGCAGCCCAGGGCCTGCACCACCTCGTTGCCAGCCTGCTGCCGCCACGCAGTCTGCACCTTCGCAGCCTGCACCCCACGCGGCTGGCACCACGCAGCTTGCACCACACACACACACACACACACACACACGCCGCAGGATCAGCCTGCACCACATAATCAGCTTGGTACCGCATAGCGTTCACCACACAGCTTGCATCGCATGGGGTACCCCAGATTGATTGCCCCACGCAGCTTGCACCGCAGAGCTCCCGCATCCACAATGCAACAGCTTGCTGTGTGTGGGGGGGGGGGCTCGCGCGGGCGAGCCGAAAGGACATCCGGCCTCCAGAGTTCGCAGACTGCCGTCTGGTTCGCGCACTTGCGGCCGCCACAAAGCCGAGAGAGAGAGAGAGGAAGCGCAGAGGAAGCGCAGACCGCGCTCCGCCGCCGAGGGCAGTCGCCCCCCGCCGGACGGGAACCTCCAGTGGCTGTCCAAGAGGCTGACCTTCATCCTGCGCCACGGAGCGGCGAAGGCGGCCCGCGGCGGCGCTCTCCGCTCCACGCAGGGGGTGGTGGGGGGGGGCTCGCTTGCAGGAGGGGGGAAGGTCCGCCACCCCGGGTTGCGTTTGAGGCCCCGGGGCTCTGTGCCCACAGCGGCTTTTCGAGGGCAGAGGGAAAGAGAGTGTGTGTGTGCGTATATATATATATACATATAGAGAGAGAGGGGGAGAGAAAGAGAGAGAGACACAGACACACACACACAGATAGAGGGAGAGAGGAGGGAGAGACAGGACGTACACATTTATATATGTATAAGTATGTATAAGTATGTTTGTCTGTCTGTCTGTCTGTCTGTCTGTCAGTCAGTCAGTCAGTCTGTCTGTATGTATGTATGTATGTATGTATGTATACAAGACTGCACTGGCGCTTCGCGCCATTCACCATGCATGGTCCTTGAAGTTTAGTATGCAGGCGGAAGGGGAGGAAGGTAAAATATAACAATTCTTGACGCTTCGCGTGTCCCCACCAGCCCATCCAGAAACGATGTCCAGGCAAGTTGAAGAGATCAGGGAAGTGGGGGAGCAACGAGAGGGACAGCCGATCCGTGCAAAGGATGAGGCGGAAGAGGAGGCCAGATGGATAGATGAGGGGGTGGCGAGGAACCGAGCGAAGGAGGGATGAGGAGAATGATGACGCTGGGTGGATGGTTGAATGCCGCTCGGATGCCTCTTTGAAGTCTTTTGGAAGCCTCTTCGGACGTCTTGGGGGTCTCTTGGCGGTCAATGGGGGCTCTTGGGCGTCTTGGGTGCTTCGGGGGGGCCTCTTGAGGCCGCTTGGGATCCTCTTGGGGGGCTTTTGGGGGCCTGTTGGAGGCCTCTTGGGGCCTCTTGGGGGTCTCTTGGAGCTTCATGGCGGCCTCTTGGAGCCTCTTGGAGGCCTCTTGGAACCATCCTTCGAGCATCTTGGAGCCTCTTGGGGGCTTCTTGGGGCCTTATGGCGGCCTCTTGGGGCCTCTTGGAGGCCTTTTGGAAGCCTCGTGGGGTCTCCTGGGCGCCTCTTGGGGCCATCTTGGAGGAGATCGATCAAAGAAGAGGGTGGGGTTAATTAGCCCTGCCCCCCCAAGAGGCCAAAATGGGGCCAAAACCCTAGTAAAACCGATGATTTTGGCTTCCTCGCCGAGGCCGTTTTGGACGCTCTAACTACCAGCGGCCCCCCCCGTCCAACTCCAGGGTAAACCCATCCTCGAAGGGGAAGAAGGAGGGATGGAAGAGGAAATTCCCTAAACCACCTACGCCCAGAGGGTTGGTGGGATTAGCGACAAATCTGGCATTTTTCCGACATCGTCGTTATGATAATGTGATTCGTCATCCTTCTTTCATCTTTCCTTTTTCTTCTCATCATTCTCGCCCTCCTCAGCGAATTCTTCCCCATCCTCCTCAGCTCGTTTTGCGGAGGCCCCCCCTTGGAGAGCCTCTTGGGGGCGTCACCACAGTTTTTAATGGCTTCTTGGAGCCTTCTGGAGGCCTCCTGGACGCTTCCTCAGGCCACCCTGCTTCCAACCGCGGTCTCCCTGAACGACTGGGTCACGATTTAGAATGCTTCGGGGGTCGTCTTGTGGCCATCTTGGGCTGTTATGGGGCGCTCATTGGGCCATCTTGGGGCCCTGTTGGGCCGTCTTGGAGCTCTCTTGGACTGCCTGGACGCCATTTCGGGTAGTCTTCGGGCGATGTCGGGGCCTCCTGGGCAGTCGCACGCCTGGAAGACCGAAGAACAGCGAGTTGTCAAACTCATTCAATCAGAGATGGGGAATCCTTTTTTGTCCTGCGTTTCGAAAGCCTCCCTTTTGCGTGGTCTTCGGGCGCCTGGTTGGTGTCTTGGGCATCTCGAGGCCCTCGGGGGGCCGGTCGGCCTCCCTCCTGACGGGCGTGGGCCCGCTGCCTGAGCCCCGCGGGGGCGTCCGGGAGCACCGGAGAGCCCGGGGAGCCTTTTGCAGGGGTGGGGGCTGCAGATCCGGGGGGGTCCGTTTTTGGGGGGGAGAGGGTTCGCACCCCCTCGGGTTGTGAAAAGTTAGCGAAGGGAGCTTGTATGTATGTGTGTATGCCTGGAGAGAGAGAGAGAGAGAGAGAGAGAGAGAGCGAGCGAGACACGCAGAGAGACAGGAGAGACAGAAATAGTGGAGAAGACGAAGGGAGAGGAGGGGATACAGAGAGACAGAGAGAGGGGTGGAGACAAGGAGTGGGGATGGTACGATGGCCAGGGAAGGTGCCAGCAAAGGGCCGTCAGTGGGATCAGCAGTTGCGGTGCTGCGCATACGCGCCATCGCACTGGGAGGGATGAACAGGAGGAAGAGGAGGAGGAGGAGAAGGAGGAGGAGGAGGAGGAGGAGGAGGCGAAGGAGGAGGAGCAGGAGGAGCAGGAGGAAGCGAAGGAGGAGGAACAGGAGGCATGTGCTGAGGAGGAAGTGGGGGGAAAGCTGGTTTTCCATCGGCCATCGGGGTAGCAGCGGTTCGGATCCAGCGAGCGGGAGCGCTGCGGAGGTCGGCCTCAGTGTGGACAAGTGCGGGTGGGTGAACGTCGCCGACATGCTTCAGCTGAAAGACACCGCAGCCCCGCCGCTGCTGGCCACGTTTCGCTCTTCTCCTGCGCGTCTCCTCCGTTCCGCCCCAAGTCGTGTATCAAATCTTCGCCGATCACCGTGATCCGCCGATCTCCTCCTGATTCGAGGGCTGTCACCTCTGGCCGCCTCAGAGCTGCATACGGACACTGAGCGGCAGTCCCGTCCCAGCATCCTGCTGCAGCAGCAGCATATCCGATGCCGAGTCCGACTTTGCGGGGTGCTACGGGGAGCTGCGAGCTGCTCGTTGCCCACGGAGCCATGGACAGTCCGCATCGGGCTGAGTTTCGTTCGGCTGTCGTCGACAGGACTCTCTTCAAGACGACGACTGCACGTCTCGTCGCCGCCTTTATTTTCGCGAGTTGTTGGTTGGTCACCGCGAATTGCACTTTACGGAGATAGGTTTCCAACCATGGGTTCTATCCCACCAGTTCAGCACTCAAAGGTGACAAGACCCGTCATGTGGCATTTTACTCACGTGTGAGATCTAGTTATTCGTTGTGGCCAGGGTGGCTTCCCATACTTCCTCGTCGATCCATGCTATCTGCGCGCCGCCAGCGCTCTTATCCACACGCCCATCAGACCACGCCCGTAGCAGGGGTAAGAAGAAGGGGACGGAACGATGCGCGTTCTGCTCTGCGTGCTGCATACCGGTTTGTTGCCGCTGGGGTGCGCAGGATCGTTTGTTGTGCGAATTTGTGCATGGCGAGCCAACATCCCTGACCCTTTGCTCCTGTTTTCCATGAGCAGATGTTCTGTTTCGCCAAGTTTGGGGGACCATCTACGTGCGTCCTGAATTTGTTTGTGTTGTGTTGTTCTTTCTGGGCAGCCCGTATTCAAAGCATGCGCTCGACGTGGTCCGGATTGATTGCTACTCTGGCCTGTGGTTTGGCGGTTGCGTTTTTAGACGTCCTTCGAGCTGTCTTTGAGCCTCCCGAAGACTGGAGCGTATAGTAGTTTCCTGGATGTAGAGTTTTGTTCTAGCGGTTGCTTCAAGCATGTGAACGCATGATGTCCAAACAAGCCCCGATTGCACCGCCACCCACACAAATACCTCGCTGTGAACATGATGAATTAGAGCACCTGCGGCTCCCGTGATATAGCTTCTATGGTAAGGCGCCATTGTTCTCGAGTCCTTGCTTGTTAGCTGTTAGCGCTCTGCCTCTGTCGAGTCCCTTATATCAGTGCTGCCTGGGACATCTGGAGCTCTGCGTGAGAGGAGCCACCACTAAGCGATCGCCTTGGCCAACTCGTGTCCCAATAGTCGAGGTCACCACTCCCCCAGTCCAACTCCTCCTGTTCCACGGGTAGACAGGCTGAGTCCAGCGGCCGAAGTATACGGCACGAGGCCGAAATCTTGTTCCCGGCTGGCCCGCGGAACACTCATCTGCGGCTGCAGGGTACTGATTGATAGCCTCAAGCGTCTATGCGAGAGCAAAGAAGAACGAGCCGCTACCAAAACAAGCTCGGAGTGTATCGCTTCCAGTCGTTGTGCAGTGTTCTCTCTCCTGCAAGGTGTGAGTTGGACCGTCCACTTGGCTGACTCAATTTCCAACGGTATTTTGCCCGGATAGAATCTAGCACCAGAGGCAGACGATGAAAGGAATGCGTCTTCCTAGTTCGGTTTGGGACACCACCCCTCCGATCTTCGACCAGCATTTGACCCCAGGACTCCTGGCGTGCCGAATCCGCTCCCGGTGCACCCGGGTCCCACGCAGATCTCCGAGAGGGGCAGAATTGCAGGAACACGTCTTTCTCGACATGCCCACTGCCTCCTTCCCCCTCCCCTGCATGCCTGCCGGCCCCAACGCCGTGGCCCCCATGCCGCGCCACGCCCTCGCCGCCGAGGACTTCAAGGGCGTCCAGCTTCCACAGCTCAAGGCGGCGCGCTCCGCTGCGCCCGCGCGGGCTTAATTGCCCCAGTCCCCGTGCAGCAGCGGGGGAGGGTGGCCGGGGAGAGCGCGGTTGGCTGGCAAACGGCGTTAACCGTGGCACACAGTGGGCGAAGGTTCTCGCAGTCATGGCTTCGGCTGAATCAGGTGGGGGGCCACATGCGAACCCTACCCCTACCCCCCACGATTTCTGAGGGGGAGGGTGGGGTTCACTTCGTGCGGGAGCTCCCGAGCTAAGTGAACCACACCCTCCCCCCCCCCAGAAATCGTGGGGGGTAGGGGGTAGGGTTCGCATGTGGCCCCCCAAGGTTTGTGCGGGCCACCCTGGATCTACACGGGTCGGCCCAGCGAGGAAGGGCACCAGTTCGAGCAGGCGCAAGCCTCGAGAAGGGGATCGGCAACCGCCCGCATGAATTGGATGCCGCTGCTTCCGTTGTGGGGTGAGTCTGAAATGCGCCTACCTTCAGGCTGACATGCCCGCTTGGCCTCTTAAACACATAGTTGCTCTGAAACCTGCCCTCGAGGAGCTCTCTTGGGCAGGACTTCTTGGCTCATGCGAGCTGAGCTTCTGCGAAGCACAGTTTTCTAACATCTCCTCTGAGGTCGAGAGCTCTGGACCCCTAGCGTCGCGGCCTGCTAGCGGAGCCAGAGAACCAGCTTAGGTCCGTGGTCGTGTGCGGATCGAGGCTATCCAGAAGGAGCGGGAGGCGTGGGGCATTCGGGACGAGCGGGGCGAGCAGGTCGATCCAGAGCGCACAGAAGGCCCGGGATCTGTCGGCCAGCTCCAGGGCGAGGTCTAGGAGAGGACCTGACAGGGCACGATTCTGGAGCTTCTAGAGCAGCAGCGCTCTGATTGTCGCTGGCGTCGCCGATACACCGCCGACGTCGCCGATGCATCGTCAATGCGGCGCCATCCTCCGACCCCATCTGGGAGGCCCCTTGTGGGTATCCTTGAGGAGGAGGAGGAGGAGGAGGAGGAGGAGGAGGAGGAGGAGGAGGAGGAGGAGGAGGAGGAGGAGCAGAACGCGCGCCGTGCGACGCCCACGCGCGGCCGTGGATCCTCTTGGAGGCATTTCGGGGCGGATGCTCAGGAGCATCTGTGGGGCCCCTCGTGTGCCGCGTTTTGGGAGTCCTGAGGCCGTCTTGGAGGGTCTCGGTGCCGCGGGGGTTCTGGTCCTGGGGCCCTCATCGGGGAGTGCTGGGGCCGGTCTGGATCGGTGTATGGGAGGCCATCGTGGAGCGGACGTGTACCGCCGAGCAGCAGTCTTGGGCGATATTCGGCAGTAGGCCGTCTCGGAGGCCTCCAGGGACTTCCTGGGCTGCCGGAGCGCCGTCCGGGACGGCCAGACGGCGACGGGTGGGGTTGTGCGATCTCTGGACATGGCTGCGGTGACTTGCGGACGCTAACCCCTGCGGGCCCGATCGACGCCGGGGGGTATCGCACACCCTCGCTGGGGTTCACCTGGCTGCAGACAGCCTTCGAATTCTGAACCGCAGCAGGCGCTTCAGAAATCTGGCCTGCAGGGGTAGGGCTCGCATGTGGTTGCCTAAACCTGACTCCAGATCCGCCTAGCTTGTGGCGATTTTGCAAGTAGGGCAGAATTCGCGCCCTTGTTTCAAGCTCTTTTGATGTAGATTTCTGGCCCACTTGTCCGTCGCTGTTTCCGCTCTAGTTGTGTGGATTTCCGTTCTAGTTTGCGGACAGTTTTGTGGAAATGCTCGACAGTGTCATGCGATGTTCCGCACATGCACATCCGCTTTCCGTTTCTGAGGCAGGAACTTCCGCCCTACTCGTTTTGCTTGCATCCTACGGGATGCATGTCCGACACAGTTCTAAGTCCGAAGACCAGCTACGGTACGGCGGGTCCGGAGTCAGGGAAGGGGCCACCTGGAGAGCTCCTCCGGGGCCCACTGCCCATATCAGAGTGACAACTGATATGTCTCCCACTGGAGACTTGTTCGTCGCATCTATTTTTTTTCTGGGGAGCTACGTCCTTGAGCTTGCTCAGGATTCCTCGAGCACTGCTCTTGCTTGGGAGCTCTTTGGGGGGCCTGCCAGGCTGCTGGCCGGCGTCGTCGTGCCGCCTCCGATGGCCGTGGGCACAGGGGCCTTGCCCCAGGGGAGAGCGAGTAAGGAGCCGCCTGGTGGCCGCCCTCGTGCCGCTTCCGTCCGTCGGGGGTGGACAGACTTCCTACCCTGGCACGTCGATCCGTGAATTGTCCGGTTTCGGTTCTCGAGAGGGCGCCGCGGCTGTCATTTCCAGGCTCGCGCCCGCCAGGTTTGGGCCCGAGGTCGTTCTCGCTAAACCATGTTTTACTAAAGGGGGGTCTGTCCATCCCCGAGTCTGGGGCAGGTCTTCGGCCTTGTCGGGGTTGGCGCGGGCTCCGCCCAGGGCCAGGGCCCTGCCCCGAGCCCGGATCCGCTGTGATCGCGTTGATTTTGGAGATGCATCCCAAGCGATGCGACAAAGCAGGGCGGAAATTTCCGCCTCAGGAGAGCAGGGCCGCTTTTTCCGCAAAGGGATGCGGCAGCAGCGATGCCAAAGCAGGGCGGGAATCGACATCAGAGGAGCCCGAAAAGTAGGGCGCGGACATCTCCGCCTTGCTTGCGAAATCGCCCCAAGCAGGGCAGATCCTGAGCCAGGGTGGGGGAGTTGCAAGGGGGAAGGGGTCTGCCCTCCTCCTCCTCCTCCTCCTCCTCCTCCTCCTCCTCCTCCTCCTCCTCCTCCTCCTCCTCCTCCTCCCTCCTCCTCCTCCTCCCTCCCCTCCTCCTCCTCCTCCTCTCCTCCTCCTCCTCCTCCTCCTCCTCCTCCTCCTCCTCCTCCTCCTCCTCCTCCTCCTGCTCCTCCTCCTCCCCCTCCTCCTCCTCCTGCTCCTCCTCCTCCTCCTCCTCCTCCTCCTCCTCCTCGCGTCGTGACGAGACCGAGACCCGAGGCTGTTGGCCGCTTGCGGCCTCCTGTGGGGCCTCCGCCGGCCCCGAGGGGCAGGCAAGAAAACCGGCGCGGGAGGAGGAAGCGGTCCCGCAGAGAAGGCCCCGACCTCTGCGGGGCCACGCTGCGACGAAAAGCACGACGTCGGCTTTCTGCGGGGGCGCCCTCGGGGGCCCTCGGAGTTCTTCGCGCTTCGCGGTTCGGCGCCGATCCCTCCTCATCCTCCTCTTCTCCCCTGGTGGGGCGGCGCGCGAGCGCGAAGTTATTCGCACTTCGCGCAGCGCGAAGCGCGAAGTTGGGAGCCCTTGGCGAACAAAAACACGACGTCGGATGTCTGAGTATCGACCCGCCCCTCCCAAGTCTGCAATAGATATTTGCGTGGCGGAGCGACCTTCTGTTGCTGTGCGTGGCGCAGGGTCTGGCCCTGCCCTCGTCGCTGTGCGGCACCGGCTGCGCATAACGAGACAAGCCGGCACGTTCGCGGGAGACCGCACGCGAACGCCACCGTGGGGGCCGCAGCTGGGGCTCCCTGTGGTGTGGCCACGTCTCCGGGGACGACCTGTGTGCACCGTGCCGCGTTGGCGTCTCCCGAGGCGTTCTCGATCCTCCAGGCGGGAACGGTACGGTGCATGGTCTTGCGGCCTCCAGGGCCGAACAAGTGTATGCACCGTGCCACCTGGGAGCGGGGCTTGACGGGAGTCCAGACGCGGTGCGTACGGTGCACGTGCGCCTTCCCCGCAGCATCCGGCTTAGGAGGTTGGTGCGAGAGCCCCCACTCTCAGGAGGGGAAAAACACACACAGACACAATGAATCGTCGATTCCCAGGAAAATTTGGGAAAGTATGGGAAGTGGGGGGGAAGACAGAAACCCAGAAAATATGGGAAAGTATGGGGAATATGTTTATTTGTGTGTAGTTATTTGTGTGTCCTGGGGCCCCTTCACACTCGGTGGGCGTTGTGACAGGCGCGCCGGCAGGGGCAGCGGCAGCGGCGGCAGGGCGCGCAGCAGCGGCGGGGGCAGCTGCAGGGGCGGCAGGGCGGGGAGGCAGGAGGTGAGGGCTGAAGGAGGAGGAGGAGGAGGAGGAGAAGGAGGAGGAGGAGAAGGAGGAGGAGAAGGAAGATAAGGAGGAGGAGGAGGAGGAGGATGAGGAGGAGGACGAAGAGGAGGAGGAGGAGGAGGAGGAGGAGGAGGAGGAGGAGGCCGACGCCGCGGGAGCGTCGATCGTCCGACGGCATGCCGAAGGGCATGACGTGGAGGGGGGGCGCCGAGGGAGTCGTGCGGCGCAGCGGAGAGAAAGGTAAAGGCCAACCACCGCAGGAGTCCTCAAGACGGTCGGCTCGTGCGTCTTGAACGGACAGCGCGGAGACCTGGTGAGAAGATGTGATGGCCTCGTGCAGTCCGCTCCACGACGGGGGGGGGCTCACCGCTCTTATGTAGGAAGCCAAGCTACAAGGTAATTACTGGAGGCACGCCCCCAGCTTTCAGTGCCGCTTTCTCGTCACTCCAGGGTCCTTTGGAGTGTCAGGGCCGTTTGGAAGGTTGATGCCCTGGAAGGCCTCGAACCAGGCCTCTGGACGCGTGCAGCTCCGCTCCGCCCGTGTTGGAGTCGCTCTCGCCACATCTGTGACTGGGGCCGTGGCTTCCAAGGCACCCAAGACGCACAGTAAGCACGGCAACTAAGAAGCTAGCTTGCCAGGAGGTGCCTCACGAAAAGTGCTCATTCTCCCGACGGCCCTGGGGGCCCAGAGAAGCACCAGGGCACCACATGAAGCTCGAGGCTCGACGACGAGCGTGCCCCTGGATTTCCTACAGCAGGAGTTATCATCGTGGGTGTCTCCCGTGCTGCATCTCAGAGGCACCCCCGGTGGGCGCCCGGTCACAGGCCCACGGGGCCACGTCAGGCCCCCCCCCCCCCAGGTACTCAGGCACGCAGGCTGCCCCGCTGCCGGCCCGGGGGGCGTCGCGCCGCCAGCTTTGAAAATTCGACGCGGAGGAGGAGGAGGAGGAGGAGGAGGAGGAGGAGGAGGAGGAGGAAGAGTAGGAGGAGGAGGAGGAGGAGGTGTGGCTCGGCAGGCTGTGCAGGTGCAGTCAAGGCGCCGACGTGGGCACCCTTTTGGGCTCGGGAGGGGCTCTGGTCTTCGGGCCGTCCCTGAGGTCTGGGTGGTGACCCATCTCGAAGCCGGGGCTCGCCACGGCCAGAAGAGCCTGTCCGTTCCTCGTTCCGCCTTCCTTTATCGCGGGCGATGTTTCTCCCCCAATCCCCGAGTTTCGCCCGAAAAGTCTGGCCGCTCAGAAGACTGGGAAAACCCTGGGATACACCCCAAGGGGGCTATTCGGACGCACCCCTATCGAGAATGGACACCCCCCCATCGTATATCCCAGGGTTAGGCCCCAAATTTCTGGTCCATGCAGAAACCCCACGAAGCCTGGGATAGGGGTCGACATATCCCCTGTTACTTTATGGTGGCACGACGACCGTAGATCGAACCGCGGCGATGGAGGAACGCTCCCTTACGGAATACGCACTCTCTGGGACGAGGCGTCGCCTTCGCACCCTCCCCCACCCCCGCCAGAGCGTGGTGCGCGACTGCCCGAAGCAGCGCTTCGAGCTGAAGGCTCGGAGGGGGGCTGGAGAGGGCGCTCCTGCATACGTGTCCTGCCGCCCCCTGACATCCTCGCGCCGCCCAAAAAATGTGACCCGAGGTTTCATGATCACGTTCGGCCTCCTGGGGCCTCTCCAGCCCCGCTGGGGCCGTTCAAGAACGACTCGGGATGACACACCGGTCCGAGGGAAGGAGTCCAGACCTCTGCGGAGCCACGCTGCGAAATAATCACGACGTCGGATGTCTGGGTCTGCCGACTGTTGCCATCGAAACTGTCAAGCCGTGGTGGCCGCGGATTGTGCAATCGCCGATCGCGCCGTCGGCTGACGGTCCCAGCCCAGTCACCTGATCGGCCTGGGCTGGTCCTTGGGCTGGCCAGGCATTGGTTTGTCGCCAGATGCTGCAAGGTGAGATTCATTGCGATGAGCTGTTTCTCTGGGCAAGTCCTCCAGACGATTGACACACCTTGTGATGGAGACAGGCTGGATATGAGTTCCGACTCCTCCAACCCTGAGCCAAGGATCACATGCTGGTTTTGCCGCGTCGTAGTTACGAAGAACAGAGCTGCACTGATCCACTTGCTCGCGGCAAGTGTTCCACCGTGCAGGCGCAGCACGTCCCGAGAAGAGCGGCCAGACGCCAGAGAGCCTTGGCGTGTGGCACCTCTCGTCCTTCTCACCACCCACCAAACCACCCCAACCCAACCCGAAGGCCTCCAGTTGCCCTCCATTTCCAGTGGGGGGGGGGTTGGGGAACATCGGGTTGGGTTGGGGGGGTCTGGTAGGTAGTCACCTTCGGCTCAAGATGGCCCCAACATGCGACCTGCTCCTCTGCAGGCTCGCAGAGTCGGCCACGGGTGCCGGAAGTCTTGTTCATGGCCTAGAGAGCCGTACTGCGTGCAACGACAGTCCCCGAGATCCCAGAGAGACTCCCAAACATGTGAATGGAAGGAGGGCGTTGACATTCAACACTTGATAAATGATTTCGCCATGGCCCAGAGAACCGTAACACATGACAACGGGGGAGGGGGCCTCCCAGGAGTGCATTTCAGGGTTACGTGGGTGCTTTCTTGAATCTCTCTGGCTTCTTGGGGCCGCTTTGGGCCAGCCTTTGGCCGTCTTGGGGGTGTCCTGAGGCGGTCTGTGACCATCTTGCGGCTGTCTTAGGGAGTCCTTGCGCCTTCTTGGAGCAATAGTTGTGCCGTTTGGGGCCTCTTCAGGTTCGGGGGGAGTTGTGGGGCCTCTTGCGCACTCATGGGACGACTATATGCCAGCGCTGTCCCGGAATAAGAGCTTGCGGAAGTCAAAATGCGGCAATGACGGCATGCAGGCAGTCCGGCAACCTACATATCAATCGAGTGGTTTTCGGCCCAACCCGCCACCAGCCTATTGGATGTTCGTTAGGACCTCGTGGGAGCCCTCTCGGGGGCCTCTTGGAGGCAGTTTGGAGGCCTCTTGGTTGCCGTTTTGGGGCCTCTTGGGGTATTTTTTCGCCCTCTTGGGGGGCTCTTGGGGCCTCTTGGGGGCCTCTTGGGGGCCTCTTGGGGGCCTCTTGGGGCCTCCTGGGCGGGCGCCTCTTAGGCATCCTGGGGGCCTCTTGGGGCGGAAGGCTTGGATTTTCGGTTCGTGTTCCCTCTCATGGCCCCCTTTTGGTGCCCCCTTGGAGCCCTCTTGGGCCGTCTTGGGCGCACCTTGTCTCGGGGCGGTCTTACGTCGTCTTGGGGCCGGAGGCCTTTTTGGCCGTTTGGGGTGTTCTTGGGGTCCTTTTGGGCCGTCCTTCCTGGAGCGTCGGAAAGCCGAAAAAGCCGAACAGGCGAGAACGCCCCTTCCCTTCGAAAATGCAAGGAACTCAATGATTTTGGCCTCTTGGGGCCTTCTTGTGAGGCCTCTTCGAGGCCTCTTCGGGCGTCGTGGAGGCCTCGTGGGCCGTTGTGAGGCCACCTAGTCGTCTTCGGCCGATCTCTGGGTGCATCGGGGGGGCCGTCTTGGAGGCCGCTTGGGGCCCTCTTGGCTCGTCCTGGGGCCCTCTTGGGCCTCGAGAAGGCATGCGACACGACGCGCCGGATCCCAAGGGGGCACGCAGGAAGCCCGGGCAGATGTCGGAACTTGGAGTCCGGGCCCCTGAGGGACTCCTCAGGACAGGATTGAGGCTCTAGCCTGGCATCGCTCGGACGTGTGCACTTTTTCCTCGGCGAGAACCATCGAGGACCATCCTGGACCATCGAGCCAAAAAAAAACACGCACGAAACCGAACAATGCACGCGAAATGGACGTCCGAGGCAAAGGGCCTGAGGGCACGCCCACTCCGTGCCCAGAGGCACGGTGGCGGACTCTTTGCAGCATGCATGCGCCCGCCCAGGCTGCCATATCATGTTATGATTTATATGTTGCTACTGTCTAGCATTAAATCGGGCCTGTCCCCCTACAGGTGGATTTTCGGCGATAAATAAAAAAGTACCCACAAAATAATCAAAAGATAGTCCAGCCCCTGCCCGCACCGGGCGCTTTCCCTTGCAAGTGAAGCCATGAAGCCACACTGGCCACACGCGCGCTGCCCCCTTGCGTGCAGTTCGCTGCGGGCCGCAGCTGGGTCTGACCTGGGGCACCATCACTGTCGAGGCCTCTCGGGGGGGCCTCTCGATGGCTTTTCGAAAGCCTCCCAGGGGTTTCTCAGGGCCTCTCGAGGGCCTCCTGAGGCCTCCTGGGGGGCTATTGGATGGCCTCTGGGGACCTCAAGGGGGCCGCTTGGCGTACGTTGACGGGCTTCTCTCCCACGGTTGTTAGCTCAACCAGGGAGTCGGCCCCAAACCCGGAATCCGGCATCCCCAGAACATACTTATACTATGTGTTCGTCGCCCCCCCAGGGGCGACGCGCGCACCGAGAAATCTTGTAGTATATGCGTCGTGGCGGGCGCTTTCTGGCCACACCGCTCGAGAAAAGATATACTACAAGATGGGTATACTATATGTTCGGGTCGGACGCGCGCCTCCAAGGCGGACATATAGTATTAGTATGTCTCTGTGCGTCCCAGGAATCCGTCCGGTTCAAGCCAGGAATTCGCGTCGAAATCCGGAATGCGAGTTTCGAATCCCAGAATTCGACCCGAAACCAGGAGCCCGCGAACCTTGGAATTCCGATCGTCGGATTCGGTATTTTTATTCATGTGTCTTCCTGTCTCTTTACCTTTCGCCTTCTGTACTCCTGCTCCGCGGCCTCTCGGCGACGACGGACGACGATGGACGATGACGGACTACAACGACGACGATGCTCGCGCGCTCGCGCGCGTCACGTGCGTGTCCGCTCTCGCCCGCTCGGCGCCGCGGGGTTGCCACAACAGGAGTAGAGTGGAGTACTGCTGCCCCCACAGGCGGTGCCACGTGGCGAGCAGAGCGGAGTGTGTGTTTTCTCCTTCGCCGACCCAGGAGTTGCCGCGCAGCGAGCAGGAGTGGCTTTTCGTGCTTTTTTGGTGCGCCCCTCGGCGTTGCGCCACGCAGCGGGTCGAGCAGAGCAGCAGTTTTTGTGGCGTCCCCCGCCCGCTGCCGCGTGGCGCGCCGGGCGGAGCAGCTCCTCTTTTTCGCCCCGTGGCGCTGCTGCTCCGCGCGCCCATCGGCCCGCGCAGGCCTGCCCCAGAGCCGAGAGCCCTGAGTGTGCCAGCGTGGCCGATCCGCACGGGAGGTTTGACATCTTCTCGGGGCTGAACGCCCCTAGGGGGGTTCTTGGAATGGCGAGATAAGAATGCGTCAGAGGAGGAGGAGGAGGAGGAGGAGGAGGAGGAGGAGGAAGGAGGAAGGAGGGAGGAGGAGGAGGAGGAGGAGGAGGAGGAGGAGGAGTGAGGGGAGGCGGCCTGGACGACGACGACGACGACGACGACGACGACGACGACGACGACGACGACGACGACGGCGACGGCGACGGCGACGGCGACGGCGACGGTGGCAGTGGCGGCGACGACGAGCCCCCGGGAGGAGGGGAGGAGAGAGGAGGAGGAGGGAGGAGGGGGAGGGAGGAGGGGGGGAGGAGAGGGGGAGGGAGGAGGAGGAGGGGGGGGCCTCTGTCCCAGGGGGGGGCCTACTTTGTCCCGGGGGGGGGGGCCTACCCTGTCCCAGGGGAGGGCCTACTTTGTTCCAGGGGGGGGCCTATCTTGTCCCATGGGGGGCCTACTTTGTCTTCTGGGGGGGGGGGCCTACTCTGTCCCATGGGAGGGGGCTACTTTGTCCCATCGGGGGGGGGCCTACTCTGTCCCATGGGAGGGGGCTACTTTGTCCCATCGGGGGGGGGGCCTACTCTGTCCCAGCGGGGGGGGGGCCTACTCTGTCCCATGGGGGGGGGGCTACTCTGTCCCATGGGGGGGGTGCCTACTCTGTCCCTTGGGGGGGGGGCCTGCTCTGTCCCTTGGGAGGGGGCCTACCCCGTCCCCCTGCGGCCCTCGCACTCGCCGTCGCACGCCGCCGCACGCCGCTGCCCCCGCGGGGGCTGCTCTCTGGTGGGAGCTCGAGGCGAAGCAGAAGGATCAGGACAAGAACAGGAAGGGCGACGAGGACACCTGATGTCAGGGCACGGCCCCGCCTGCGCGTGGTCCCAGCGCCTGGCGAGATCATCACTTCGGGGCACTCTACCCTCGCCGTGCCGTTTGCCGCCAGGGGAGCCGTCGCTGCGACGGCAGCCGATCTCGAGACTGGGGCAGGGTACGAACCTGCTGGAGCAGCTCCTCAGCGACTATGGTGCTGCGCTCTCCGCCCCGTCTCGGGCGCGTCCTCGGCGCCCTCTTCTTCGGGGGCTTCGGGGCAGTGAACTCGAATTTCGGGCGTGCTCGGCTTGGCCGAGCCGGGCCTCGACGCGCGCCCGCGCGGCCCTCGCCCCCATGCTCCGGGGGCCGCCGCCGGAGACCGAGGCTGGCGCGCCGTCCGGCCTCCACCAGTCCGATGACCTGTATGCATTGACTGGGGGTGCCGCGCCGGGCACCCATGACCCTTCTAGACTGCGAGTGGCTCGCGGGGATCTTCGCCCAGCGGAGGTCGGCGACGTCGCGTCGGCCGAGGCGGCCGTCCTCATTCGGGGCCCCGCGACCCCCATTCTCATGTCCGACGCGGAGCTGGCTGCCGACGTCGACGCGGGCGCCCTGCGGGGCAAGGCATATTGGAGCCCCGTGCTTAGGGGGTCACGTCGGAACATGATCGAGTTTCTGATGGCGCTGCACTCGGGCGGCCGCCTCACCCGGCGACGCCGGACCCGCTGCCGCGTCGGGTGCTTCTTCGTTAAGAAGAAGGATGGCATGCTGCGCCTGGTGCTCGACGCCCGCTGGACCAACCGCTCGTGCCGCAAGGTGCCTCCGTCTCGGCTGGCGGCCTCCAGCGCGCTTGCGCGACTGGCGACCTCCAGACAGGCGCAGGCGCTGGAGGAGGCCGAGCTCCGCGCTGCTGGCGTCACCGCTTCGCCCGCGGAGGCTGGGGCCGACGTCGAGCTGCGCTCTTTCAGCGTCGACCTCGCCAACGGGGCCTCTACCAGTTCAAGAGCTAGCGGATGGCGAGCTACTTTGGCCTGGACTTCATCGCCTCGGCTGCGGAGATCGAGGCGCTCTTCAGCATCTCGCTGACGGAGGTGCTCGACGAGCTTGGCGACGGCCTCAGCCCGCTGCGCGCCGACGAGATGCTCGAGGCGTGCTTCCTGGGGATGGCCATAGGCTGGAGCTGGGCCCTGTTCTTCTGCAGTGAGACCATCAGCGACGTCATGCGGGAGGCCCTGGCTCGCCGCGGGCTACCGACCCTTGGTCGGCGACCGCCGCTCGCCCGCCGCGCTCCACCCTTGGGCGCCCGCCATGGACACTCACGTCGACAACGTCGACATGTTGGCGCTGGGTGCGGAGCGCGGCCCGGAGGTATACAGAGCCGCGGTGGATGGCCTCATGGCCTGGGGGCTGGTGCTCCGTGATCACGTCGCCGCGTCCAGGAGCTTTGAGTTATTGGGCATGCTGCTGGATGGACGCCCCCGTCGGCTGCGCCATACGGCGCGACGGTCCTAGAGGCTGTGGCTCGCCCTGGGTCGCGTCCAACGGTTTCGGCGGTGTTCAGGTGACGGGCCCCGGGTTCTTCCTGGTCGCCTGTGCCATCACTTCGGGCTGAAGCTGGCGTGCCTCAGCTGCTTGCAGAGCGTGTGCTGCTTCGCCTTCGACCACCTCGGCCGGGTCGCGCCCCCCCCCGCCCGTCGCGTGGGACGAGCTGTGGACCTGCCGCACGCCCGTGCTATTCGTGGACGTTGACCTCGAGCGGGGCTTCTACCATCGCATCGTCTGCTCGGACTCGTCCGGCGGCGGCCGCGGTGGTTTCGCCCTGCAGGAGTCGCCGGCGAGTGCGATGTGGGCGGCCAGTCTCAGCCGCTGGAAGGAGCGCTGGCGCTTTCGCGAGGTGCCTCGCTCGGGGGGCGGGGTTTTTGACCAGCCGCACAGCGCGCCAGCGCTGCCTGGCCTGGGGTCAGCCGCGGCCTGGGCGGACGAGATGGCCAGCCCCGTCGGCCAGGACCTCCGCCCTCTGGCGGCCGCGCTGGCCGCCGTCGAGCGCGCGCGCAGGGGGGTCGCCTTCTGCCGCAGTGGTATCGCGGCGGCTGGCCCTACCACCCCCTGGATTAAAAAGTGGTGATCGACGCGATGCCAGGGAACACCCCCTGGGTCTTCGCCAATCGAAAGAAAACTCAAGCATCGACCGTCGATCGATCCCAAGTAGCTCCCAGACAGAGTCGTGGCCCGAACGGAGGAACGGCGACGGGGGGGTGCACAAGACGCGCGGTGATGAGGACAGCCATGCCAAGGCGCCACTCGTTGGCGGCGTGAAAGGCGGTCAGAAAATACCATACGAGGAATTATCTGGCGATGTCGCTGCTCTCAAGCGGCATGGAGATGGATCGGGCATTTTTTTGAGGAGGTCCCACGCGAAATCGCCACTTTCAGATGCCGCCGCAAATTTTCAGATCGCCCTGGAAGGCGATCTGAAATTTGTTTTGCGGAAGTCTCAGGCGGAATTGCATTTTCAGACGCTGACCCCATTTTGCTGTTATAATATTGAAAGGGGTGAGAGATGCATCCGAAATTCCTGAATCGGCACCGAGTCCAACATTGTCCTGGGGCCCTGGGGCCTAACGGGAGGCCAGCCGCGTCTTTTTCGATCCCCGCGGTCTCCACTTTTAATCCAGCGGGTTATAGCAGGAGCCTGGGCCGGCCGGAGTCTCAGTCTGCCGATTCACATCCTCGAGGGCCGCGCGTCGCTGATGGGTCGCAGGCGCGCCGCAGTGACCTCGGCTGCCGAAGGCCCCATTGTGGTGTCGCTCGGGGACAACGTGGCCGACGTGTTGGCCACCGAGCGCGGCCGAGCCTCCGACTTCGGACTCAACGCCCTCTGCCGGCAGTCTTGCGCGCGGCAGCTGGGGGCGGGGCCCGACTGGCGCCGCCGCTACATCGAGTCATCGCGGTGTGTGTCGGACCAGGACTCCCGGCGAGCCCATCGGGGCCTCCTGCGGCCTGGCGAGATTTTCGTGCCTGCGGCGCAGCTCAGCGGAGTCGAGACTGGCAGCGTTGCGCACGTGGCCGGAATGCTGCAGTGCTGTGGCAGGCCGGCAGTCGCCGCCTCGTCCGACGGGAAGGCCGCCCTTGCAGGCCGGCCCTCCCGTCTGGATCGGCGTTTGGCCGGGCTGCGGGCGACGCCTTCCAGCGCCCCCGACGCCGGGGGCACGTCTGTTCGGCTGCGCCGCGCGAGGGCGCGGCCGCCCGACAGCAGAGACATACCGCGCCCCCTCGTCGCTTCTTCCTTGAGCTGTTCGCGGGGCACGGTTGTCTCAGCGGGCGACTGCACCAGGCGGGGCTCGAGGTGGCCTGCCCTTTCGATAAGAAGGGTGGCCCGCACCTCGACCTCTCGGACCCCGAGGTCATCAGCCTGGTTCCCCAGTGGATATCTAAGGGCCGCATGTGGTACGTCCGCTTCGGCACTCCCTGTACTTGGGCTTCTACGGGTTCCTCGCAGGCGCAGGCGGCTGTCTCGGGTCGCGAGTGCGCGGAGGTCCCCATCAGGCTCCCCAAGGCCATCAAGAAGGCCCACAAGAGGCACGCGATCTACATTGCGCTCGAGAACCCCGACACGTCGGCTCTTTAGCAGTGGGCTCCCATGGTCGAGGCTCTGAAGTCCCTGGAGGCCAAGCTCGTTGCCTTCGATGCGCGTTGGCTCGGGGCTCCCAGTCGGAAACCTACGAAGATGGCTTAAAACGCGACCGCGTCTCGGAGATTATCTAGACCTCAGATGCTGCTGCACCATGCCTCACTTGATTCTCCAGGGGAAGGTTACTGTTCCCATCGACGGGAGGAATCGCAGCGCGTGGCTCACAGAGCTTGCGGGGCGATATCCCCCAGTTCTCTGCGGTGCCATCGCTCAATGTTCCCGTCGGTCTGCGCCCGCCCTCGCATGTCTTGGCGATGGCGCTCCTGCCTGGCGCTGGACCGCCGTGGAGGCCGCCGTCAGGGCTAGACGGCCGCCCCCGAGGCTTCGTCCGCCTCGATGGCTGGCCAGAGTGGTCTTTGGCCGGGAGCATGCCGTCGGCTCTCAGGGCGTCTGCTGCCCCGCCCGCTGGGCCAAGCCCGGGCTAAGCTGCCTCCATCCCAATTGCGAAGCCAACCAGGCGGCAGCCCGACGCCCCGTCACCCGAGGCCGACCGACGCCGCAGGCGGCGGTGGCGGTGGGCAAGCCCGCCGCAGCCCTCAGCTTGATGCGCCCGACTGCAAAGCGGAAGCCCAGGCCGGCAGCGGCGGTGGCCGAGGTGGACAGCTCGACCATCGTGGCGGCCGACAGCCCTCCGCCCCCACCGCGCCGACGCCCGCCGGCGGCGGCGCTGCCCGTGGCCAAGGTGGCGGGCGGCCCGCGTGGCGCGGCGGCAGGCCCAGGCGGCGGTCGTCGCGAGCGTGGCCATCTCGGACCTCGCACAGGTCGAGGCTCGCTCCACGCCCAAAGGGACGCGGACGCACTACGGCCCGGTCTACGCGACGTTCGAGCTGCACATCCCACAGACCGGCCACCCGCTGACCGTGCTGAACGACCAGATCGCCGCCGCCATCATAACCTTCGACCACCCCAGCCAGCTCGAGACAGCCTCCATTGCGGCAATGGCCTCCTAGCACGGCACATTCTGGTGCCCAGGCGAAACGCTGACGCTCATGAAAGACGACGTCGTGCTCCCGTCCGAAACGGGCTATCAGGAGACGTTCAGCATCGTGGCGCAGCAGGCGCAGATGGACCAGGCGCCGGCGCACTTGGCCAAGTCGGGCGAGTCCGACGACGCCGTCGACGCCAGCCTCGAGCGCCGGCCTCGAGCTCGGATTCGTCGCAGCTCCGCTGCAGGGGCGGCGACGCCAGGTTGCCAAGACAGACGTCGTCTTCTCGTCCCTCGCTTTGGCCCGCTACGATAAGGAGTCGAAAGCAGCCGTGACCAGGTTCCGCCTCGACGGTCTCGGGAGCTCCCCCCGCTCTGCCCGCCACGATGGGCCGTCCACGGCCGCCCGCCAGAACCTGCTCACGCTCGCGGGGACCTAGAAGAGGCGCAGGTATTTGACGCCTACATCAGCGGCCCGCTGCGACAAGAAAAGGGCACTGCCCGTGATGTGGTGCGTAGTCCAAGCTCTGGAGTGTAAGAATAGGGAATAGGCCACGTCTTCCATTCTCGCAGGTCAGCCTTATTTGCTGCGCAGCATCTTGTGCGGCGCGCCGCAACCTGCCTGTGATGTTGATTTCGCGTACCTCTGCCCGCTCTCTCTTGTGTGCATGTGCGTTGGAATGCATTGTTCGCCCCAGCCAACCCGCCCTTCGACAAGACCAATGGGTTGGCAGCTTGGCTGCATGATTTTCTTTCTCACGATATCTTGAGTTGCCCTTTTCGCGGCTGTATCCCGATGCGATCCCGATTCATTGTGCATCCTCGGCAGGCATGCCGAGCCCCGAGTCACAAAATGCATGCCTCTGTTGACCTCGTCCGCCTTGGTGATTGTCGCCCTTCTTCTTTTGTGGCTCTGCCCCAGCCCCCGTCATGGCCCCGCTAGCAGTCATAATAATTTCCAGTTGTGTTCGCAGTTTATTCAGAGCGGGAGGGGTTGGTTCCAAAGGCGCCCGACCCGCCCTCTCCGTTTTCGTTCTGTGATACAGCTTCGCTCTGTACTGTTCGGCTTCAAGGTTTTTGTCTCTCACGATATCTTGAGTTGACCTTGTGTGCGGTTGAATCCCGATGCGATCCAGATTCAGTGTACATCTTCGGCAGGCGCGCCGAGCCGCGAGTCACAAAATACATGCCTCTGTTGACCTCTTCCAGCTAGGTGATTTTCGCCCTTACTCTTTTGTGGCTGTGCGCCAGCACCCGTCATGGCCCCGCTAGCATTCATAATAAGTTTACTCACAGGGAGCAGTGATAAACCCTTTCCCGAAGGGGGAGAAGGGGTTGTGGATGAGGCAAGAAAGACATCGTTAGATCGCCTGTCGCCCAGAGTGCTGGCGGGATTAGGGTGGCTTGTGCGGTAGTGGTCGTCGGTCGTTAGTGTCTAGGGTCGGTGGTGTGTTGTCGATGCTGATCTCCTGGCTCGTCATCGCCGTGGTCGTCGTCGACGAGAACGAAGACGACGACAACGACGAGAAAGAGGAGGATGTGGAGGCGGAGGCCTACATGAGAGGATGCGGAGGATATTTGTTGTATAATTGTCGGGGGAGGAGAAGAGGAGGGTTTGAAGATGTGGGAGATGTGCCCCGTTCCTGGAGGCGCTCAAGGGGTTCTCGGGTCGCCACGAACGACTGCCACGTCGATTTTCTGGGGCTTTCCGGGGGCGGTCTCCCGGGGGCGCCTGCACATCCCGGCAGGGTCTCCAGCCATCGGGGGGCCCGACGCTGTGCGAAGGAAATCGCGGTGCGAAGGAGGTCGTGTGCGCTTGGTGTCTGGGGGGGGGAATCCGATTCGGCGGGGCTGCGCCGGGGGCACTGTGGCCCGACGTGGGGGGCACGGCGCGGTTTTCATGGTGGTCGGGCGCGTCGGCCCTAACATTGAGGGCCTCTTGCTCTTCAGGGGGTCTGGCGCCAACCGCGAATATCTCAATTTTTGGGGTGACCTGTGCGGTCGTAGTTGGTGGTCGTCGGCTGGTTTTGTAGGTCTGTCGTGTGTTGCCGATGCTCTTCTCCTGGCTCGTCATCGCCATGGTCGTCGTCGACGAATACGAAGACGACGACAACGACGAAGATGAGAAGCAGGAGGCGGAGGGCTACATGAGAGGATGCGGAGGATATTTGTTGTATAGATGTCGGGGAGGGAGAAGGGGAGGGTTTGAAGATCCAGGCTCCGTCGAGGCTGGGCGCGGCTGAAGTTTGGATTCTTCGCCAAGAGTGTGGTTGCGGTGCTTGCACACGTGGTGTTCCTGGTTCCGCCGATCCGGGAATTCCAGGTTTGGACTGGCAGTTCTGGGCTTCACCAGGCTGGACTCCGAGTTTGGCCTGGCAGTCGTGGATTTCGCGGAGCGGATCCCGGGTTTCGCCCGGAATGGAATTTTGGGTTTCGCCCGGAAAAATTCGGGAGTTTGTTTGCCGACCTGTCCCCGCGGTTTTCCCCTGGCCCCCTTCCCCTCGAGTACAAATCTTGACCCCCCGGGAGGAGGAACCAAGGGGAGGAGGACAGCCAATCATCCCACACGCCGTCTCACCTCCGGCAAGCATCGAGGGTGTCCAAGACGACGCGATGACAAGGGGTGCGTGGATAGCATTGCTTGGGCCATCTCCCTGGATGCCATGCCCCTGTATTCTTCTTCTTCTCCTCCTTCTTCTTCTTCTTCCTTCAATGCGTCCCCTGGTTCCCCCTTTCTTCTTCTTATTCCTTCAATGCGTCCCCTGGTTCCCCCTTTCTTCTTCTTCTTCTTCTTTTTCTTCTTCTTCTTCTCTTTCTTCCCCTTTCTTCTTCTTCTGTTCCCCTTCAATGCGTCCCCTGTATTCTTCTTCTCCTCCTTCTCCTCCTTCTTCTTCTTCCTTCAATGCGTCCCCTGGTTCCCCCCTTGTCCGCGCACATGCCTCGGGCCATGACTTGCGACCCCCCGAAAGCAAGAGCCGTCGGAGTTTGTGCTGGACGGGCCCGGTTGCTTGGCTCCAGGGTGCTTGGCGTTTCATCATCCTTCTCATCCTCCTCCTCCTTCCTCCTCCTCCTCCTCCTTTTCCTCCTCCTCCTCCTCCTCCTCCTCCTCCTCCTCCTTCCGCGGGGGGAGGGGCCCCAGGGTGCTTGGCGTTTCATCGCGGGGTGGTCTCGGGTCCCGTTCCTCGGGAGCGCCCCGAGTTCCTCGAGGAATATGCTCCGTGGCTTGGGTTCGCGCGGCATTACTTCGTTTTGCTCTGCTCTGCACTGCACTATGCTGCATTGCTGTTCGTTGTGCTGGATTGCGCTGCTCTGCATTGTGTTCCATGGTATTGCATTGGATTTGCTTCGCACGTTTCGCCGGATTTACTTGTCTGCTTTTTGGTCGCGTTGTTTTTGTCATGTCATTTGCATGGCTGCATTGTTTTACACTGATTCGCATTGCACTCGCATTGATCTGCACAGTTCTGCACTGCATCGGTTTGCATTGTGTGGTGCCGCACTGCTTCGCATTGCGTTTCATTGCACTTCATTGCATTGCATCCGTTTACATTGCATTGAATCGCAAGGCTTTGAACAAGCACTACTTTGTATTGCTGGTGTTGAATTTGAGTGCATTGCTTTGCAGCGCATTGCTTCAGTGTGCATATGTGCATTGTTATGTGTTGATTTGCGTTACCTTGTTTACACTACACTGCAGTTGCTTTATGTTGCTTTGCAGCTGATTGAGTTAGTACAGATGTTCGTGCCAGTTCGTTCGATTTGCGTTGCAATTGCTTTGCTTTGCGATGACATGGATTTTCCTGCTGTAGGTTATACTAAGTTGCATTGGTTTGCATGGTGCTGCATTGCATGACCTTCCTTTAGCGCTTTGTTTGCAGCGCAGCGCGCTAACATCACAATGCAGTGTGTGATCACTTCGCAGTTGCAACGACACATTGTACCGCACTGTCACCTCACAGCAGAGGACCCCGCATTAAGACAACGCAGCGTCAGGAAATCACCTCAACGCAAGACCATGCAACGTACGCAAATGAATGCAAGTAAAAGCGATTGGCATGAGGCATGAGTTCAGCTTATGTAATGTATAACAAACTCACAGCAAAGCGACGTCGTAACATGTGATAGCGTGCTCATTGGTGTAGCTTGTATTGAGTTTGTCCTAAGCTTCAGCTTGTCGCCAGCATCATTAGAGCAGCGTGCCTCCAGCTTACCTTTTATAAAGCGAGCAGTCCATTCGGTGCGTTTGGCTTCTCAGGGGCGTCTTCCAGACGCCTTGGGGCTTTGTGGACGCATCTTGGGGCCTCTTGGGCGTTTATCAGAATACTATTGGGACGCTTGGCCTACTCTTTGGACAGAGTTCTGACATTTGGGCGGCCTGGTTCGCGCCCTGTGACGCTTTTTGGAGAGCCCCTCTGAGCATCACGGGGGCGCCACAGGGCACTATAGGGAGGCGTCGAGGCGCCTGGGGAGCCTCGAGAGGGATGAGGGGGAAGGGCCTCGCGCGGCTGAGTGGGCGGAGCGTCAGAAAACTTACCCGGAGCCCTGCCAGACAACGCTTGTGACGAACCAACAACACACACCCATACCCATAGGGGGGTCGGAGAGGGCTATGGGTGCGTGTTGTCGGATGGGGGTCCCCGCTCGAACGGGAGCGTTCCCCAGGGTCCGACAACCCGCACCCATACCCACAGCCAGTCCTCCTCTCAACGACCCCCCTATGGGTATGGGTGTGTGTTGCTCGTTCGTCAACTTGGCACTGTATCGCCAGATTGCGTGCCGGAGTGCACGGTGGTGGTGAAATTCATGACCCAGGAGCTCGCACTCACGTGACACACGCCCACGACTTCGTCGTACAGCTTGAGGTCGAGTCTGGATAGGGGTTCGTCGCAGGATGGCTGAATGCACATCTCGATTGTCACAGGAGCCCATCACGCCATGGCGCTGTGACTCAGACGGGGCCTCGGGGCTCTGTCAAGTTGCGCATCAATCGAACGATCAGGGGCCTCCACCAAGGGGCGCCCACATGAGGACCCGAAAAAAACAAAATTGCTGTGGGATCTGCTGGCAAGGCTTTCTGATGTCATTGCGCCCCAGTGAGCGCGTTCCATCAGTGCTCGCACACATCTTGACAACGCGCAGTCCACCCGTGCGCGTGTCTGCGAACGCGCGCACACTTTCGCACGCGCACGCGGCCACACATATAGACGCGCGCTCATTTGCACAGGTATCGAGCCCTGATCGGTTCCAGGCACCATCCGCTGGCTCCCTTCGCTGGCACTGCCGCGCGCATACGCCGCCGCGCTCTGGGTGCGCATGGGGAACGGAGGGGGCCAGGGGGGGGAAGGGGCGGCGGTTGTTTGGGGAGGAGGAGGAGGAAGAGGAGGAGGAGGAGGAGCATGCCATGGTGGAGGCCCCACCCCCAGGAAACAGGCTTCGTGCAACAAGCGGACGGATGTTCGGTCCCATGCGCGGGGGGGGGGGCCCGAGCATTGCTCCGGAAGGAGCGACACAAACTCAACAGCCAATTGCCCCGACACACCGACCGCTGCAAGCGCGCAGTGGCTAGCACGTTAGCTTCCAGACATACATATGTGCGGAGGCAGGGCGCTCTTCACGCTGTAATCAGGAATTGGCGTCCACAGTCGGTCAGCATGTATACGCGGCGGGTGTAGCCAAGCCGGCGCAAACAATGAAAACTCCTACGAGGGAGGAGCATCCAAAGATACACATGCAGACCTCCGTAAACGTGTTGGTCCAAGCCTTGTCATACAATCCACTAATCTGGGACCTCGTCCGTTCGCCCAGAAATTCGAGATGCCGACCGCAGGATTCAAATGGCGAGTTATCAAAGGAGTTCTCTCAACCGTTGCCGTGCTTTCGATCGTGAGCCCGGCTGTTCCACACTGGAGCCATGCCAGCTACTTCCTGCCCAATGTGGTTAAGTACGGCATCCATATTGGATTTGATGTTGGGTTGTGGAGAACGTGTGTTTCGACCCGGCTTGCCGACGGAGACCAGCCTTGGAAACGGACATGCAATCGCGGCATATTTGGGTGTGACTTCGGTATGGCGAGCAAGAGTAATGTCACGGTGGTATCCACTTCCGCAGCTTCTTGCGGCCTCTTCGGATCTGCATTGGTAAGTGCTTTGCTTCACATGCTCTTCAGTGTTTCCGCCGCGGTGGTCTGGATTATGGGGTCCAACTGTGGCTTCGAGCATCTGTTTTCCCACAAACTTCGCAAGGGAGCCTTCTTCTGCGCCTGTGCTGCGCTTCTCTCTTCGATTGTTTCCACTTCAGCTTTTATGGCATGGATTTTGAGTTTTCCAGATGAAATCGAAAATGCTCAGGGGATGGATTCTGGCTGGTTCGTGGACAATGCTGAGTCGGTAGGTTGGGATCTCATGTGCTTTAGCATGTGCCTTGAGGTGTTGCTTATCGGCGCTGCCATTTTCGCGCATTGTCGCACTGGGCGAGCTGTGTGGCAAGGAGAGGAGGCTGTCAGTGAGGTTCGTTTTGCTACCGAGTTCCAGATGCGTTCATCTGATGAATAAGTTCTGGGATCGTCTCGTTATCCAGCTCGAACCTGTAGGGCGGCACTTGGTCTTTTGGGGTCAATCAGATTAGGACGATTGGTGACCATGCAAGGTGCGTTTCCTTGCTTGCGCTTCGTGTCATGGGTGCCTTCGGGCATTCCATTTCACAGGGTACTTTCTGCAGGTGCTTCTAGTATCGAATTATTTGGGCGACAGTTATAAAAAGGCTTGCAGTCGCCTCTGGGACGGGTTCCCTTAGGTGCATTATTTTGCAGCGCGGCGCTTTGTTAGGAGTAAGCTAATCATGCACTTCCTGTTGCGTGGAAAAGGTACACTTGCAGACATATTTTGTTTTATGTATGCCACTATCTTGTCAAGCACATGGATGATGCAGGATGCAGAATCACGCACGGGCGCATATGCATTCGCCAGCGAACATGAAGTTCAGCAGAGCGGGCACAATACATGCTGACTGACACGCGACGGTCCGTCGACATTTCGCGCGTGGTCAGCAGCACGCCTTTCAAGCGGCCGCAAAGAACTGCTGGTTTTTCAAATGTGCTAACCCAGATTCGACGGTATCCCCTCGCGCACCCTGCCCCCATGCGATGCATTTGACTCTGGTGATCTTATGGTTCCAATTGTTTCATGCGATGTCTGGGGTGGTTGTGGGTCACAAGTAATACGCCACACGCTTGTCTGAGTGTCGCGGGGCCGATATCTATCATTGGCAGGGTATCGCTATCACTTGAGGTGACCATTCGCGCACCAATGCCTTTGCTGTCTCGGACCCATACCAATACCGTTCTGCAGGCTTAGATGCTTGAGTTGCGGAGTGCCGAAAGCAGCCAGCTTTCTATTTCTGAATTACATCCCAGGTCAGCGACAGTATAGCTCACGTACCCAATGTTTTCTGAGCCTGTCCTAATGGAGTCGGGGTCTGGAGGGGGGCTAGTGACTACTGCAGGATGGGCGCATGGCGAGCTTATTTGCTGCGAACCACCCGGACATAAACGCGTGTGTTACAGATGTGAGGCGAAGATAGGAGATTGATTGCAGAGTCTTATATGTATGGGAAGTCGTGAGTCGGGCACTGAGTAGGGGAACGATTTGCAATAGATATGGCGTATGAGAAGGGACGCCTTGTAGCGCGCACTCCCCGCAGGCCCCAACTCAGGCATCGTCGCCATCATGGTTCGTTTGGCCAAGTTTCCGGCGGATTGCATCCGTGGGTCCAGGAGGATTGGCATGTGAAGGAGGGACATCAGCAGCAGGGGAGCAGGGGAACAGCAGTGGCAGATCTAGAAGAGGGGGCGTGGCGGCGGCCATCGCGCGCCACGAGGACCCCCTCGCCGACGGTGAGCCTGTCAAGATCCGCGCCACCCAGGGACATTCCCTGACGCAGGCGGCCCCTAGCCTCGGGAAGTCTCAGTCGACGGTGCAGCCCTGGCATGATGAGACACGGACTGCGCAAGTTGGTTGCCTTGTGGCAGCTTCGGCACCAGGGGAGTTGCAGTATGTGTGGCGTCATCGGTATACGGTGCAACCCATGTGATGCAAGTCCTATACACGGTGCCATCTGAGCGAAGCAGTATACATTACGCCATCGATGAAAACAGATACAGAGAGAGAAGGAGATAGTGATGTGTATATACATATAAACACGTATATGGGTATGTGTATGCATGTATATATGTGTACGTATATATATATATATATCTATATATATAGAGATATACATATATATATATATATATATATATATATATATATATATGTGCCTTCGGCCCATCCCGCCACCGTGCCTGGTTTCTGGGTCAGAGGCCTCGTCGGTTCGAGCTTCCCCTCTTGGGCTCCACTTGGGGCCGTCTTGGTGCTGTCTCGGGCCGTCTTGGGGCACTCTTAGGCCGTCTTGGGGGCCTCTCAGGGCGCTCTTGGCCCGTCTTGGGGCCCTGTGGGGCCCGAACAAGTTATGCAACAAGACGCCTCAGGGCACGCGAGAAGCCCTTGGAGATTTAAGAAGTTGGGGTCCAGGCCACTTCAAACAATCTTCAGGATTGAGGACTGAGGCTTGATGGATTGGTCCAAGTACCTGAGGACATTCAAACTTGTGCCCCAGGGCACGGTGGCGGATATGTATAGCATCTATAGTTGTATATATATATATATATAGACATATGCACGTGTGTATACATGTATATATGAATAGGCGTATGTGTGTGGACCAGGACGTGCAATGGATTGGCGTTGGGCAGCCGCACTTTGTTGGCACACCTACGGTGGCTTATTAACGCGAGGACCTTCCCATGCAGATCCATGACTCGGGCGGGCGAGAGATCAGGGTTATGATCATATTGTCGATGATGCTGGGGGCGAGGACAACGACGATGAAGATGAGGATGATGATGATGATGACGGTAATGATGATGATGATGATGATGATGATGATGATGATTATGATGATGATTATTATGATTATGATGATGATGACGAGGACGATGACGATGACGGTGATGATGATGACGACGACGATGATGGTGGGGATAATGGTGATGCAACCCAGGATGATGATGACGGTAAAGATGATGATGATGATGATGATGATGATGATGATGGTGATGGTGATGGTGATGATGATGATGATGGTGATGATGATGATGATGATGATGATGATGATCATGCTGATGATTATGATGATGATGATAACGATGATGCGGTTGTTGATGATGATGATGATGATGCGAATGATGGTTGGCGACGTTGGTGAGGAAGTTGACGACGATGATGATGGTCATGATGATGGTGAGGCTCCCGCATGATACCAGCGAGTGCGCTTGATCGGAAGCCGGGCAACGCTCTATGGCAAGAAGAACGGTTGTTGGCAACATTTCATGTTGTGTGGCTTGAAACACATCGACATTACAAAGTTTGGACTGAGTTTGACTTGCGAGCTGCGGCGTGCGCATGCGACCCACACTGTATTACGTGGTTGGCCATCATACGAAACGCACTTGTTTATCGAGCGTGCACATATGATTTGACAGGCGTGTGGGGGGTAGGTGCGGGCTAGGCTGGTATTGTGTCATGTGATATTTCGGCTTAGCGGTCGTGCACAATAAGAAGATTCAGGAAGATCCCGAGGAGGAACGCTAATCCTGGCCTCGGTTGGGGGAAGCTAGATACCAATCTCTTCTAGGGGAAGGAATCTATAAGGTCCACGCTGCGAGGTGTAATGACCTTCCGCTAGCTCATGAGTTGTCAACCCCACTGCTTTCGCAATCATCCCACCCTCCCACCCGGCGGTGACTGCTTGACCCTGGCTGGCGTACCTCTGCCGCCGCGTTGGCGCGCAAGCAAGCCGGCGCGCAGAGCGGCCAGCTGGTTTGGAGCAGCGGTATGTCGCCCGGGCGGCCCTCAGGGCTCTCTGGATTCGGTCGTCGGTTGCTTCCCCACTGGTTCCGCCCGCGCCTTGCGCGAGCCGGCGCCAGGGCAAGCCGTGCAGCAGCCGACTCTCACACGCCAGCGGGCCGCCCTGAGGCTCAAGGTCGCGCGGCCGTTCCGCCTGGCGGTGAGTGCACTGACGGTCACAGCGGGCGACCTCAATCGGGTGGGCGAGGACGCCGACAGGGCATCTATACAGCGTCGCGGCCCCCCACTGGGAGGCGCGATCGTGCCGAGGAGCGCCACCGGCGGCAGACAGCGCTCAGCGTTCCTCCCTCCACGAGCTCCACCAACCCGCGCTGACGCAGCGCAGCGGAGCCACGCGCTCCCGGCTGGACAGGATCCATTGGAATCAGACGTGGCGGAGCAACTCGATCGCGACATTTATTCCGTCGCTCTGGAATGGGGCCAGGCGCTGTCGCACCACCGGGTCGTGGCCGCAGGCCGAAGGCTGCCCACCCGTCTGGTCGGCGCCAGGCCGTGGCGCTCGAGGCTGTCCTGCACGAGGATTGGGCTTATCGTGTCAAGCTGTCGTTTCTGTCGTTTCAGGAGCGAGCAGTGGCGGAGCCGGAATCATCGCCCCTGCGTCTCTTGGCGCTGCTCAAGTGCTCCATGAAATCGGTGGCCACAAAGGCCAGGGAGGCGGCCCGCGGTCACCCTGCCGAAGCACCTGAAGACAGAGTCGGGGTGACGATGCAATGTCTGCGGGTTGTCGAGGGCGGCCACGTCGGGCGCATCAGCCGGTGCTGGGGGCGATACCCCCCTTAGCCAACTTGGTGGACAATTCGTATTCGGCCCAACGACGCGCGGCTGGGCGTCTTCAGCCCGTCTGGGGCCACGCCGTGGAGCTTGCGCGCGAGCACGCGGTGGCCCAGCTCCAGAAGTTCCGCGCTGACCTCCACGGGTTGGATGCTCATCAGGCCACGGCCTGCGCAGGGCTGCTGCCCCGCAGGGCCGTGCTCGGCCCCGCACCGGGGAGGTGCTCGCAGAGCCTGCAGCCAGGGCCGCTGCCCTGCGGGAGCGCTGGGGCGCGGCACGCCGCGAGCTGCCCACGGGCACGCGCCTCCTGGCAGCAGCGGCTGCAGCATGAGCTGGCGGCCCGTGCAGGGCAGGGCGCGCCGCGACTGCCAGCGGTCCGCGGCGCGCGCCGGCACCTCCGCCCGCGCGAGGTGCGGCACGCGCTGGACCACGCGCCGTCCACCGCGCCTGGGCCCGATGGACTGCCTTTCGCGGCCTGGAAGCAGCTCGGCTCGCTGACCGCGGGCGTCCTGCGCGGCGCCTGCAAGCAGCTCAGCGGCCCAGGAGCGAACGAAGCCATCATGCGGGATATGCCGAGTTACTACGACAGCTTGGTGGTATTCCTGCCGAAGACAGCGACTGGAGAAGGGGCAGACGAGGCCCCTCGCTACGCCGCCAGCGACACCCGGCCTCTCAGCCTCGTGAACACAGACAACAGGATTACGGTTGGGTCTGTCCGCCGCCGCCGCCGGATCGAGCCCCTCCTCTCGCAGATCGTCTCGCCTGAGCAACGCGGGTTCGTCGGCGGCCGCACGCTCCCTGCTCGCCAACGTAGTGGATGTCGACGAAGCAATACAGGCCACCGCGCTCACAGCGCCAGACGGAGCGGTAATATCTTTCGACTTTCCACGGCGCTCCCCAGCGTGAGTCAGGAACTTCTCTTTGAGGTTTTCGCAAACTCGGGGCTACCAGCGAGCGTCTTGAATTACGCTGGCGCCTTGCACTGCAACGACAGACACCAGCTGGTCGTCGGAGGTGGCTTGCACGACGGCTTCCCAGTGGCCGCGGGCATCTATCAGGGATGCCCAATGTCCATTGTCTCCGCTGCTCGACTGCTATGCGGCGCGCTTGCGCGGACGATCTAGCAATGCTCCTCCCTCAGGGCGCCGCCGCTGCCGCCAGCTCGCTGGAGACGCTCTTCGACGAAGCTGCCGCCATGCCGGGCCTCCGCCGGAACATCAGCGAGACGTTCGGGGCCCCGCTCCGGACGGGCTGCTCCGAGGGCGCGCGCCCAGACGCCACGGCGGGCGCGCCTCGTGAAACGGGGCTCGATGCGCGCATCGCGCGCGAAGTATCTCAGGCTCGTTATGAGCCCAGATCGCGGCGAGCACGGCCGGGGCGCCGCCTGCGCAAGGCGCAGGAGGCGCGCCCGGGACTGGGGTCCTTCCGGGGGCGGGATGTGTGCACGAACACGGTGGCTCCGCCTCGGCGTTTGCGTTCTCAGCGTGGAGGTTCCTGGGGCGCAAGGGGACGCCCCGCCGGCGGGGTGGCCCAGGCTGGAGGCTGACCCGATGCAGTCGCTCTAGGGCCCATTCCGCTGGGCGCCGCCAGCTGCCGCGCGCGGCCTGCCGCTGCTGGGCTTTCCCGCTTCGCTCCCAGATCTCCCAGCTTCGGGGGCGGCAAAGAGGGGGGTGATGACTAGGGGGGGGGATATCATGGCGGGGGCCATGATGTTTCCCCAGATATTATGGCGCCTCTTCTTATTTCATTACGTCCCTGGCCCCCCACTGGGCCGCGCACATGCCGCTGGTCATGATTTGCACCCCCTCCTCTTGGACACCCCCCTTTGGCCGCCCCCGAGCTGTGGCCCTGGCGTCGAACTGTCGGGTCTGCAAGCGGGCGGCGGCCTCGGAGGGCGGCCCCTGCATGGCGGAGCGGGCGGCACGATTCCGCAGGTGCGCCTCCGCTGCGCTCAGCCGCTGGGGCGTCCTGGCGCCTGGGCGCGATGCCTCGTCCACGATGCGCGCGGGCCGTCGCTTCCGCGCGTGGCCCGCGACACCTGGGGCCACCAGCCGCGATCGGCAGCGCCAGGTCTGGCAGCGCACCGGCGCGCGGCTTATCACCCCTGACCGCGCCCCCGAGCTGCGCGCCTTCCTGCCGACGAGGTCATCGAGGTGGGTGACGGGCCTCTTCGCGGCGACCATGGTGGACCGCGTGCTGATGACA